CCCCAAAACCCCAAAACCCCAAAACCCCAAAACCCCTGAAGATCAATTGGAATTGAGATAAGTTAAATTATAATAATAAAATGGAAAGTGACAGTCTAGTTACTCAAGAAAGAGATTATCAGAGAATCAAGTAAATTTAACAAATTTTAAGTTTGTTCTAAAATTTAAACTGAAATTTGAGTCACTTAGCATGTTTAGAGAAACTAAAAACTCATTTATTCTTTCGAGATCATCAAATTTTTCATAGTTTTTAATTTTAGATATGCGAAATGACAAGAGTAATTTTTATTCACCCAAGATTTCAGTTTCTTCAAACAATATTCTCTGCACAGTGAAGCACTAATTTTCAAAATAAAGTTCAAATTTTGAACTTTGACAATTAAGCATCATTACAATATTCTGACGTTAAACTAATACTTCAAGTCCCAGGGAGTTTAGCACCCTTACTTTGCCTTGAGATTTCTCTTTGTTCAGTCGATTATACTTCTTATAACTTACAAATTAGAGTTGCATTTAATTTTGAATGCAAACTCATCTCGAGCTTTGCCTTCAATTTAATTGCCAAATTCTGGTATGAATCCGAATTCTTAATCTATCCCTAATTTAGGAGTCTAGAGAAGTCTATCTCAGACGAAAGCATCCAGCAAGAATATCAGAGATGCTGCTGTATCTACGACAATGTGCTTTCAAGAGAAATTGAAGCTAGTCTACCTGATCTGGAATCTAATGAGCATTGAGTAGATCACCGATTTAACACGTATATTGGAGATCCTAATTTTATCAAACTTGCAAAGAGTTTAAAGTTTCTGAAGTTCTTCAATGTAAAAAGGGTCTCATTGAAAATTAGCAAGATGAGAAATTAAGCATAATCTGAATTTCTTAGATTTCTCATTACCCAATAAAACTAATGAGTTAGTTGTTTATCTCTTCCCTGAGGTTAAGATAAATAGAGGGACGTACTTTAACTCATTAATTATGATGAGCTCCAAAATAACTTGAGTAGTGGATTTCGAATTTTTCTGTCTTAGCCTTCGTCAAATAAAAAGGTTTATGGCAGCTTACAGGCATGTTGAGAAACTTAGAATTTGGTATTGCAAATTGTCTATTCCAACAGTTCCTGATTTTTCAAAGGCTCTCAAAAATTGCCAAATTCAGGAAATATGCTTAATGGGAACAGGAGGCAAGTCTTATAGCAATTGGGGAGATCATCCTGAAGAGTTCATTAACTTAATACAAGGCTTCTCAACATCTTTAGATTTAAGGTTGAGCCTCAGAGAAGTAAGCATTTGGAATTGTAAGGTAAAACAGAGAGAAGCAGAGGAAATATTTGCAGAAAATCAACTCGAAGGAGTAAAAGTATTAAATGGATGTTAAATTCATGAAAAATTGTTGTTTCTTGCTTTATTTGGCTAAGCACTATAGACCCTGCACAAATTTCATATTAAGTAGCTTTATAACTTACTTTGAGGTGGTCTATTAATTAGGCCTTTGTAGCTGAAAACTTTGAAATTATGCAGCCACTATCTATTTTGGCACCAGTTTTAAGAGAGAATAACTTGGGAATTGTTTAGAGATGGAGAGTATCACAATGATTATGAGTCCTAGTTTCTACCATTTCATATTGAGTGTGTTATATATATTTTCAAAGCTTTAAACTTATCTTGGGGTTTTGGGGTTTTGGGGTTTTGGGG